TTCATCAAAATCCAATGAGTGGTTCTTTAGATATCAGTGGAACAGTCATAGAACAGCTAAAAATTAGCTAATTATCATGCAAATTAGGTAATTAACGAGCATGGATTTTTACCAAAACCTAATCAAATCTGCGCATTGGCCCAGAGCATCTATGCACCAAGTTTCATCGAAAATCGATGTATGGTTCTTGAGATAGCAGTGGAACAGTCGGACACACATACATACACACACACACACACACACACACACACACACATACATACATACAGACACACTAACTGCAAAGACTCCCATTTTGTGCTTCGCACATGGGAGTCAAAAAAACAATAATATTACAATCACAGTATACTTGATCATCAAATTTTGATCACAGAGACATCTCTTTTGTTTACACAAAGTTATAGCAACTGATGTTCTTGCTGAGGTACGATATTAAAATAGATTTGAAAAGCAAAATACCACATGATTCGCACTGAAAAGTACATGTACTAGGAAATCATTGGTGGGTTGACATGTGGTACCAGAATGATCTGTAGAGGTCCGCACTAAGCAGGTCATGTCAGCTGCACTTATTTTGGCAGCATTTAGTGTACACATGTTTTCACTGAAAAATTACAGCACTAAAACCAAATGTAAATTTTGAAACGCAATACATTAATAGAAATGAGATTATGTGCCAGGCAACCAAAATATTATTGTAATCCCTAGTTAATTCTGTTTACATGTCTACACTTTCTGTACAGATCATATTTCAGGGGAAAAAAAGACTAGAAATTGTCAATTAGCTCAATTTGTGGCTTTAAATCCAACGATATAATGACAGTTCGTTAAAAAACACTAAAACAGCAGCAAGTGTGTACACCAATAAAATATGAGTGAAACAATGGAACTAGTATTTCCATGGTGAAACCAACCAACCATGAACAGAATATTTTTTTTAATATACCCAGAAATAAAATATCCAAAACCTGTTCTCACCAACGCGCGCACACACACACACACACACACACACACACACACCAAAAAACTGACCCAACTCTCAGATACCAAACCTACTGGGCTTTCAATGCCAGTCGTATTCAATCTATTCAAATGTACTTACAGAGGTGTTTCTATGGTTAAAATAAGTCACATATTTAATGATTCATTTTACAACATTTTTTTGGTTTATAGAGACATCTATAGGAGATGTACTTCTGACAAATACTATACTGTTATTAGATGTGATGTTTCATATATTGAAAAAACTGCAGGAAATTTATATGCACTGATAACAATGGGAGCAGTATAATCACACATACCTCTTCTTCTGGTAATGTTGGTGTACCTGGTGGCTTGCGAGAACTGAAAAAAAAAAACATGTACGTTTGATTATAGAAAAAGGCGTAGTATGATAGTGACAACATCCACAACAAATAAACCATTCCACTTGTACCAAGCCTGAAAATCTAATCTTAATCCACCCCTTCTGTTCACAGATTAACAGATTACAATAAACCAAAACCATTGTAAAATTGATTATTATTTAGCAGACTTGCACTGTTTAGAGATTTATTCTAAAGAAAATTCGGGGGCTGAGAAATTGATTTTTTTTAATTATAAATCTGACAAATAAACAAAAGTAAATCATACAGCTTCCTACTTGCTGCATCTGCATAATTTAGGGTTATAATAATCCCCTGTGCACAATATTATAGTAAGAACAACTACGGCCACAGTACAGTTTTTAATACGGGTTAACAGATGTTGGGTACAATAATTAATAACATAGCGAAAATACAACAGTCTTGTCCCAAGTAAAGCTATTCATATGCAGGAAATATACATTTGTAACAAGTCATTGAAAATGACACAGTCCCCGTTAAATTTTTGAAAGTTCTCTTTGTGCTCGTCATATTAAAGCGGAGGGGTTGTCGCAAGCGTGTCCTTGAAACTTGAGTTCCAAGTGGCGTATTCAACAGATTGTTTATTTACATCAAAACACATGTTCCGTGTAGTAGTAATATGACCAAAAATAAGAACAGCCATTATTCGGCCATCTTTGATCTGATTATGAAACACACTGATATGTATGATGTATGTGTCAAATACAAATGAAAATGGTACATTAATTGTGGAAATATAGTAGTAAGGCCAAAAAGTCAGATGGCTGTCAATCGGCCATCCTTGACCAGATTTTGAAACAAATTGTCATGGACATGCATCCTAACATGTATAAAGTACATGTATGTGCCAAATTTGAATGAAAACTGACAGCACATCCAAGATACCACATAAAAAATAAAAAACAAGATGCCTGCCAGTCGACCATCTTTGATCCAATTGCGAAATAAATCGTCATGGACATGTATCCTAACATGTATAATCTATGTACCAAGTTTGAATGAAAACTGACAAAGCATGTCCAAAATACAAAATTTTCAAAGAACAAGATGGCTGCAAGTCGGCCATTTTGAATTGAATCGCTAAACCACTGCATGTGCATATGTCCCACATAAGGTACTAGGCACATGCAAAGAATGAACGGAATCGGTCCACAGGATTCTGAAATATGACTCTGGACAGACTGACACACGGACGGACGGAAACACGGATGGATGGACACACGAACGGACGGACGGACGGACGAACGGACAGACTCAGGAACTCACGGACGGTCGGGGACATGTATCCTAACATGTATGATCTATGTACTAAATTTGAATGAAAACTGACAAAGCATGTCCAGAATACTACATTTTCAAAAAACAAGATGGCTGCCAGTCGGCCATTTTGAATCGAATCGCTAAACCACTGCATGTGCATATGTCCCACATAAAGTACTAGGCACTTGCAAAGAATGAACAGAATCGGTCCAAGGGAATCTGAGATATGACTCCGAACGGACGCAGACCGAATTATAAGTCCCCGTTTTCGGACTTCGTCGGCTAGGACTGACCAGCTTTAGTAAAGGTGCAACGTCTAGAGTTGACAAGAAGTACTAAGCGTTGTTAGCAACTGTTAGAAAATTCTGATGAATACTAATAACTGTAAAATGTGTTAGAATCAGCGACTTCTATTAAAATGGTACAATGCAACAGAGGGGATGCGGCTTCTATTAGAGCATCTACACACATCAATTATCTCAATTATTCAAAAAGAGACTTCTATGAGGGATGCGGCTTCTAATGCAGATTTTACGGTATTATTTATTTTTTTATAAAATAAAGCTTTAACATTTTTTGTACTTTCAAGTTTTCATTCCTACTTCTTTGAATGTCTGCGAACAATCTTTTGGGTTTGTAGAACACCTATGGTTAATGTATCCCAATCAAAAATCAGTTGGTATGGCAACAATTCTGAAATTCAATTAAAAATATCATCACAAAATGAACAAATCTGAGAGAGGTCCACATGTACCGTTGTATAATATCAAATCAATCAGATTTGTGGTTTTCAACAAGAAGTCAATATCACTTTTTACCAAAAATATTTATCTAAATTATTAAAGATATTAGCACAAAATGAACAAAACTAAGAGAGGTCCACCCAGATACATATACACCAAGAGAAGTACTAATTATTGTTAAGAACTGTTAGAAAATTTCGATGAATACTTTTTATTTTTATAAAATTAAACTTTATAAAATTAACATGGATCCCTATGAAAGTTGTTTGAAAAATTGCCCTTGTTTTTTTCCCAAAAATATATTTAGTGTCTTGACATGCACTAATCATAAATTATTAGACATTTTTGAAAAAAAAAATTTCATTCCTATTTCTTTGAATGCCTGATTAATGTATCCCAATCAAAAATTAGTTGGTATGGCAACAATTGCTGAAATTCAATTTAAGATATCATCATGAAATGAACAAATCTCTGAGGTCCACATGTAGTACTTATATGTATAATACCAAATCAATCAGATTTAGGGTTGTGAAAATTGACCTTTACTAAAAAGACTATACATATAGTTAGAACATCCCCGACACAGAAATCTTCACCACTCCATCCCAACTGAACATGTTATATTAAGCTTACAATTGCAACAGATGTGATATTCTTTTATTTATACATGTTGTGCACTTTGACTAAAATAACATCATACACAGGACTGTAATTTTATCCAGCATGATGAACAAACAAATACTGTATTATTCGTTCATTTCTGAGCCCTCAATCACTGCTTATTCTCATGCTCATTCACTGACTTCCCACGAAGCAATTTAAAACATTAAACAAATAAGAGTAAAGTGACACATATCATAGATATGTAACAGCAGAAAAAGTCACATAAAACAGCAAGCAAAACACTCAAAACAAGCACTGACAATTGTTCAGTCCCCCCTTCTGTGTGAATTTCGTCACTAGAAGTGATCCAGGATCGAGTGTGGGTATACATTGGCCTAAATAGCACTGTAAAGGAATTTGTTGTTGCTGGCAATGTATTGTAATAGGCCGAGCATATTTGGTTGAATGAAAAATGTCATGTGCAACCAAAATCCAGTACGTTGAATCATCGAGTTTCAACAAAATCATGCAAGCCAATCAAAGTAAGCTGAGAAAGTATTGGAGGCATATATAAAACTAATTCAAAATTATCCTTTCAAACAAGAAGTTTGGCGACTAATATTAGTCTGCTATTTATTTGAGACGACAACCTGAAAATAATGTGATATACAGTAGTTTATAATACAGAGAATAAATATGATTGTATATCTGGTTTATTCCAGAGCACCTATACCACAAGTTCAATTTAAATTGTCTAATAAAAAATAGTTAATCAATATGCAAAGTTTTCAACATGAAACTAATCACGGATTACCCCGGAGCATCTATCCATGTATCCGTCAGTATGCTCAAATTTTAAACCCCAAAAAATCAGGTCTTTAGCATTTTGATCAGGCACTATAAAGTCTTATTGAATTGCAATAATTGGTTTTTGAGATATAAGTGAAAAATTGGTTAATTAGTATGCAAATTTGCATGCATTTCAACCTTAAACTCTCTGTGCATTGCCCTGGGCTCCTAAGTACCAAGTTTTATTATAATATTATGATTAAATTTTAAACAAGCAGCCTCTTGGCTGAGATAGCTCCGCTCTTAGCAATGCACAATTCAATTATTAAAGAATTGAAG